CACCTTCCGTTCGGTGAGATGACGATCATGTTGCATGACGTCGAGGCCATCCTTGGGATTCCCGTGGAGGGAAACCGAGCATCTGTCGTCACTGATGCGGATCAGGCAGATTTACTAGCGGAGCTGTTGGCGGTGGATAGGGCTGCGCTGTACACATCGGCACTTGGTGTGTGGGATCACGGCGGCGTTAAGATCGCAGCCGTCTTGCAGCGATGTTTGCACCCTACGGCACGTAGGACGCAGGACACACAGCTGGCTGCATATGTTTTTCTTCTTCTCGGGTGTACCTTGTTTCCGGATAAGAGCGGGAACAAGCTCAGGCCACGCGACATAGTTGACGCGTGTGAGCCCGACAGAGTAGGCCAGTTTTCTTGGGGGTCGGCTACGCTGGCGTATCTGTATCGCCAGTTAGGATTCTCGAGCCGGGCTGATGCAGCAGGTATCACTGGATGTCTGACGTTGTTACAGACCTGGATATACGAGTATTTTCCTGCGTTTCGACCACACCGCGACCCGGTTCCCATTGGTGATGGCCAGCCACGTGCCTGTGCGTGGAGTCCGCGTGTCGAGAAGAAGTCCGTTGACCGCCTGCGCTCCATACGGTTATCGCTTGACAGGATGTCCCCCTTAGAGGTACAGTGATTAAATTATTTCTACTTTTACAATCTGATGCTTTATTTTATGACTGTTACTGATTTTAAATAATGTGCAGGTGAACTGGATGCCTTTCGGCCAGAACCCTAGTAATAGGGTACCCAGGACCCTCTACACTGGACTGATTCAGTATCGCGAGATCGTAGAGGCGTACATGCCGCAGCGCTGTCTTCGCCAGCTTGGATTTGTCCAAGTTGTCCCACCTCCACCGGCATGGCCCAGTAAGGCGGTACGATCTGCGTCGTCGAAGGAGTACGTCGTCCAATGGCCGTCAAACATGATATCCATGTGGGAGCAGTTTCCGATGGTTGCCCGCCTATGGACGGCGGAGCTGCAGCGGCCGCCAAGTGGGGTGACTGCCATGTGTGACCAGCACTACATGGAATGGTACATCCGGCACTCGCACCCGAGGTTGATCAAAGACATCGACGACGCAGATGATGACGATGTGCCACCTGCCACTGCCTCTTATGCGGTACGTCTCATCTTTTATTTGTTGTTCTCTTATTTTAATATATATATGTATAATACGTCGTATCATGTTTTTTGTTTTGTGTAGTGGATGGGCAAGATTATGCAGTTGGGACACCGACTTTTTGAGGAAAGGGACTGCATGACGGGTGCATCAGGCAGAGCTGTTATAGACGATCTGGAACGGACCCTTGAGCAGTGGCAGTGGGCGTCACAGAGGGATTACTGATATTTGAAATTAGACATTATCTTTTTAGTTTGTAATATTTGAAATTATTGTTCTTAGTTTTTAAAATTCAATATTATCTTTTTAGTTTGTAATATTTGAAATTATTGTTGTTAGTTTTTAAAATGAAACATTATCTTTTAAAAATGAACACATAGAAATGACATAGTATTGACAATACAAGGCCTCATAGTAAAACTACATGGCAATTAATTGTTCCACTGTTGCACGCGAGCATGGTACAAAGCATCCCAACCCTCCACGGTTGCTCTACGAATTTCATACCACTTCGGTATGATATTTGGGACCGGAAAATCGGGTGACATGTCTAATCGGATAAAATGTCTGTATGACGGCCCAAGAAATCCAATAGCAACGTCCCTTACCGATCTGGTGACGGTCTCGCGCGAACACCAGGGCAGAACCGTTGTACATGGATAATAGGCTCGACTATGTAAACCAAGGCCGAAATGCATGACTGCACACTTGTAGATGTTTGCAACGGCAAAGAGATCAAGTGGCGCATCGAACCAATGATTTTGACCGCAAGGTCCCCCTCCCCACCGGATACGCTGCAGAGACCTATCCAAGTCCTCGCCGTACACATGGCCATACACATCTCGGTTTGATGCGATTTCACTGTACATCAACTGCCGCACTAAACCGTAGTTGTCTTCACCCATTTGAAACACATCCGCCACAACCCGAAATCCGCAGTTACCATCTGCAATGACATCATTCCACCCGTCCAAGAATGGCATCATGATATTAGGGATCCTGTCCTTATATGGAAAATGTTCAATGTCCATTCTCCCTGTTACACACATCAATAAACACAATAAACAAATCAACAGTAAACTAATCAAACAGTCAACAAAAGAAATTGAAGTCGAATGTCTTACCGGTGCTGGGCATATTCACCGACGACGATGATTGGCTGCCACTTGATGAGGATGTACGACCACGGCCACGACCGCGAATGTACTCAAACGCACTCTTGTTCCGCCGTGGTTGTCGACCCCTAGGTCGCTCGACCCCTTCCGGTTCCTCGGTATCCAAACACGATGTATTGAACATGTCATGAAGTATGTGTGTAGCACTACGAATGATCGAAGGGTGACTGGAGGACACTTGGTCAAACATCATCTGAAACTGCTCCAACTCCTCCTGTTCACGGTGAACCGTATGCGGAACAGCATGCTCTCCGATAACGAGCGTCCGCCAGAATGGATGAACCTGATCGACATGTAACGACGCCCTGTCTTGCGTAATTACGCGGTGAATGGTGCATGCACAAGGTAATCCATGAGTAATTGATATAGCACATCCGCACCGAATAGCCACTTCATCGCCCAACTCCCTCATCCTGGTATACTCGCTCAGAATCAACCCCAAACAGTGGTGTGACACACGACCGTGGAGAATCTTAAATATGAAATGGCCATACAACATGCCATGTCGTCGTCTGGAGTCCTCGAGATAGTTCTTGATGCCGTTCCTCTGAGTATCAATAGCCTTGTTTATTCTCTCGAACAGTGTATCCAGAGCAGCCGTGGAAGAATCAATCCAGTCCTTCAAAGCTCTATGAGCGCTCTCGACTCTGCATGTCGTAATGTTCCCAAAATGAAGAACTTGGTTCGTCCAATATTTGACAAACTTTTCCCTCTGAGGTACCCACTGATGCATCACATAGTCTACGATTGGCGGGCACCACTTGTACGCATCCTTGAAGTTTTCCAAGGCTCGATCGTACTCTGCCTCTGTGGTAGCTTGCATGATCTTCCGCCACTTACCATTTACCAATGTCTCTGCTGTTACTAAATTCTTGTTGAAAAGATTGTAGGCTTTGACTTTCACGCAGTTGTTGATGTGCCATGTGCACAGTAAATGGCTCGACTCCGGAAACAGCTCCGCTATAGGGGCAAAAAGACCTCCCTCACAATCACTTACGATGGCCGATGGCTGTACATTTGGGCCGATGTAGTTTCTCAACTTTTCCAACACCCAACGGTAACTCGCAGTCGTCTCATCCTTCATGACTGCATAACCAATCAGAAAGTTCTGGTTCGTTGGAGCCATCCCAACCATCTCAACCAGTGGGAACTTGTACTTGTTTGTCTTGTACGTTGAATCGATCAAAATCACAGATGGCCAAGACGAAATCATATCAGCACAATCAGGATGGACAAGGAACAAATGAGTTACCTCCGATGTGTCTTCGTCAGATTCAAACCAGTAAAGGTAACCACGTGCTTGTGCCTGGTGCAGAAGCTGCTGTATAGGGTTCCTTCCCTCTGACCGTTCAAACCTCAATTTCTGTCTGACGTTGTAGATGTGTCTTCGGTTTGGCTGGTCTTCGGGGAATTTCTCTAACACAGACGCTAATATTTTAGCGGGCTTCACTTGAGCATCACTCATTTCTTTTACAACTAGTTTCGCAGCTGGACTTAGGCCGCTTAACTGCCGATGCCCCACTTTGTATGCTATCAGCTCATGGTTGTGATATCCCCATTTGCCGTAACCCTTCACTTCCCAACCGTCACGCCTTTGATGTTGTCGAACCTTAACTCGGAACTGACACCCACAACCTTTCCGCTTTGAGTCAAACCGAATCGCTTTACTGAAATCTCGTTCTTCTCTTTTGCGATAACGGTCGCATCTCAAAATGCGATCCATTCTACCATCCCGTTGAGATTTATGAGTTGCTACTACTAAACAAAAGCCTGATCTAATTGCAACCTGTTTTGCCCAATCAATCGCTTGTTGAGCATCTTCGAACAGGCCATCATGTACAAAAATCCCACTGTAATCATTTCCGTCTCCACCATAATCCTGTAACAATAACATATAACGTATAAATATAATTACATTAAGATTAAATTAACAAAAACAAACAAAAAAAAAAAAAGGGGATTAAATTAAAAAATAAAAAAAAATAAAAAAAAAAAATATTCCCCTACTGGCGCCTGGCCAGGAAGCCGGAGCCACGGCCGGGGCGCCTGGTCAGGACGCCGCCGCCATGGTGGCGGCGTCCTGGCCAGGCGCCTTGACCGTGGCTGCGGCGTCCTGGCCACGCGCCACTACTATGGTCGAGGCTTCTCCACCAGGCGCCGTGACCACGGTGGCGGCGTCCTGGCTAGGCGCCACAACCACGGCATGGCCTTTTGGCTAGGCGCCAGCCACCATTTCGTCCTTACGATGCGTTACGAACCTCGTTTTCCGATGACGACGGCGATTCTCCGGTGATCCTCCACATTTTTTTAGTGCGAAAAATTTATCTTCGGTTAAAATTATAAAAAGGGCAAATTTGTCAAAAAATTATAAAATGTGGGCTTTATGTAGAGATTTGCGGGCGATGAATAACAAGTCCCCTAATATAATCCACCCTTACGTACCATCACTTTCACCACCAACACAATAAACTTTTTTATTTTATTTTATTTTTTTTTTTTTTTTTTTTTTTGACAAAACTCAATAAACTTTATAATGCATTGTATATATGTCTAGCCTTCATATTCTCACCACCTACTAAAAAAAAAAAAAAAACCCTTATAACTAGCCAACTAGGTACTTAACTAATAATAGAAGTTTACGTTGATAAGCAAGTATAATAATGCTATTCAAAAAAAAAAAAAAAAAAAAGCAAGTATGATAAAGATTATAGAACTACTAATTAAGATAACTTAAAACTTATAAATACTCCGTAATATAGTGTTACATGTTACATCTACATGATTATTATAGACTACGATTTTTCCACAAATTTTATATTTCTAGACTTCATTGCCGTGTGTAAATCAGCAATTCCAACCCTACCACAGCTCATCACCAGTTTAGATCCTACTTTGCAATTGTCATTCAATATTATATTCTTCACACTACCCCATTTGCAATTATTTTCTTCATTTAATTCACAGAAAATTATTTCTGATGGATCTGAAGTATTGTGTAAGTAAATTAAACTTTCAGTTGCCAATATATTAATTGAAGATAATAAATAAGAATTCTCCCCTTGTAATTTCTCCAATAATTCAGCTGGGATTTCCCCTATTTGGTTTGATTCCATCGTTTCTGGGTTTATTTTCCAGAGTTTGAGATTTTTCACGTTTTCAGCATTACCTATTAAGCCGGCGAGGATAAGATCATCGCCGGCGTATCCAATAGCTGAAAAATAGACACTTGGGTCGGGCCGTAAATCATAAGGCCCGGACCAAGCCTTAGTGTCGGGACTAAAAGAGTATGTAATCCCTGAAGCCTTTTCTGTTACATACATTTTGTGCTGATTGGATGCCACGGAAAGCCACGTGGAGGCAGTTGAGTCCTTGAGAATGCTAGGCATGGATTGACAAGTGGACCAATGGGAGGTTGTCATGTCATACATCTTGACCGTGAGGGGGTTGTCCCAATAAATCGCGCCTCCACCCGCAACAATGAGGTGGGGCCCAACAACGGCCACGATAGGATCCACCCGCCATACACCTGGTGAGGAGATATGGTGCCAGGTGTGGTGAAGGGGGTCCACCGAGAAGGATAACCTCTCAGAAGAGAGTTCATAAAAAAGGGAGGACCCCGAGGATTGGAGGGGTTTGACATGTTTAGTATGGTTAGATGGTTGAACAAGTTCAACCCATGTGTTCGAGCGCGGGTCATAAGCATAAGTTGTATTTTTATTGGTTAGAGATGTCGTGTTTTGGGTTTGAATTATAAGCCACGGTTTAGGCTTGTTGATATGAACCAAAGAAGATGAAACTGAAAATTCCCATGATTTAGATACATGAGACGCACAAGCGAGATCAATGAGGGGCACACGAGCAAAGACCTCCTCTAAGAGGTCTCCATGGATTGGAGATCCTTCACCTCTTTGCTCCTTCATTTCTTTATCCTAAACTTTTCTCTTTTTTATTTTCCCTTTTTATTATAATGAACAAATGAATTGAAGTTGTTCTCTACACTTTCTTGTTTTAAAGTGTTTTTGAATAATGAAGAGGTGACAAAGTTTTTGGCTCACTATATATAATAACAAAGTTAGTGGTTTTGTGTCTATTATAAATAATGATATTTTCTGTATTTAGCATTTTGTAAATGTTTGGCCCTATTTATCTGAAAATTGTGAAGCAAAATCAACTTGTGAATTAAGGGGGGCCCTTATGGATAGAGGTTTGGATAAATAAAAAAAATCGATACATTCATACATGATATGTAGTAGGATACACATAAGTGACATCACTATCAAGACCAACAAGATTAAACAAGTACTCAATTATTAACCACTTTACAAATTTATCTATGGAGTAATTAATAATGACTTGATATTGGCAATTATTATCGTCACCCACCAACTGATCCAAATTATACTAATGGTCCAATTGCCCATCCATACAAGAAATTAATTCAAATGTTCATACCATAAAAATTAAGCTAAATAATATTTTAACAAAAATAAATAGGCAAAAGCTAACGAACGCCTTGGGACATTGGATAAAGTTATTATTATGAAACGAATAATAAAAAAAATATCAATATTAAAGTAAGAGAATAAGTTAGATAAAAAACATGAATAATTAGCCAATTCGCATCCGAAAAGTGTAGAAGGTATTAAAAGTAAGCTTCCATCAAATGTTATGAATTCGATAAGCTATGCAACCAACTTCTTCAATGTCATTGTCGTTTTGAGCAGCACATGTTATTATTGATTGAGTGACAATTAGTTATATTACTTATATAACATGTTCGCCGCAGACTTGGTTATAAATATTACTCCGTATCCTTTTTTTATTCCATGCACCTTCAAGTCGTTTACTGCCACCCTTTAAAAATAAAAATAAAAAAAGTTGTTTACTGCCACCATTATTTTATATTCCCTCTATTTTTTTTAAATGCATTAGTTTGATCGATATATTTATCAATAAATAACTTTGATCATTAATATATTTAATTATCTGTTAGTAAAAATTGTAACAAAATTATATTACGAAACTAGACATTATCGTGAATCTAATGATATATTATATAATAACATTTATTTATTTTATAATAGTAAAAAGTTAATGTCAAATATGACACATGAATAGTGCAAAATCAAACTGATGCATTTAAAAAAAAAAAAAAAAAAAAAAAAGAAAAACCGGAGGGAGTATATAGCCTCGCAACACACATATATATACATAATTTTGACCATTAATTTAATACTCGTACTTCTATTTTTATTTAATTAAGTGTATAACATACATGTCGATGAAAAACTTTAACCAATGATATCTTTAATTATCAATAAGACAATAACTGTAAATTCACAACACTTGAATATTAATAATTTATTCATTGAGAACGATGCCAATAAGTATCCACAATATTTTTTTTCTTATGTATAATTCACAAACATTGATTAAAGTAGGTCTTCCTCAAAAAAAATTTAAAAAAAATCTAATGAATGGTTTTTACATTTTTTTAAAAACTATGTACTCAAAGAGTGCGCGTCAATTATTCCAAAAAGGAGCTAATAATTACAAATACTCTAATTTTTTTGTTTATTTCATTTGTCTTTTACGCATGTTTCAATGAATACATTTGAATACGTACTAATGTATCCCACTAGGTAGTAGGCACTGTAAAAAGTTACAAAGTATAAGAAATTCCTATATGAATAGGTTTTTTTTATATCTATCAAGTCTTCAAATTAAGCATTTTAAATTAGAAAGAAAAAAAAAAGTGTAATATAACATAAAAAGTGAAATTTGAATATTTCAAATGGAACTCTTGTGCATTGTGCGGGTTGTTCATAGGCAAAAACATATTCATTTCATATTCTTACAATTATGCCAACAAACTAGAAGTTGTAAATTCAAATAACTAACTAATTAAGATTTAAGACTAGCTAGTAAAACAATTAGCATGAATATACCTTACACAATCTCTTGATTAAGTTTGCCTGGTCAAGAACTCTAGAAGTCAGTTTTCACAAATTCCTCATCAATGTGTATGTTATGCAACATATTTTCATAACACCATCAATTTTGAAATAGGTGGTTTTGAAAATATGTCACCTTCTTCCACGTATATTGTTTGCATCCTTTTGATTTTTCAAACATCTTTTTATAGTCCCTTGTTTTAACAGGACTTCTTGTCCACTACGTTTCTACTATATACACAAACACAAATTGCAATTCACTTGGATAACCTATATGAGCATTCCTATCAAAGGTCTTGAGTCTTGACTATTAAATTTTAGAATTCAACAACATTGAAAGGGAGAGCTTTCCTTTCAATGGGGTGTTTATTTGGGACATGATTTACTCAAATTCAAAGCAATTTGGTTTTAATAGACTTCGAATGTCAGGTGATTCACCTAAGTTGGGATTTTTTTTTTCCTCTCTTTCCTAAGGAAAATTTTCTCAATTTGGTATAGAAAATGCTTGATTAAAATGAGAAAGATTACTTTCTCCTAGATCTGTTAAAAATAATCAACACTTAATCACTCATTGATAGAGGCTCAATAACAACTTTCAAGCAAACAAAGATATTTATGCAAAGAGTTCTATGTTCGACCTCTAATTTGAAATGGTGATTTGGACAATTCACATAACGTATTCTATGTCATTGAAAGCTCTCTTAACACTAGCATAGATGTCTCTTAAATACAAGAAAAACGATAAAGAGTAGCAAACATTAATTAACACAGTAAAATATATTTGAAAATTCCCAATGATATAAAACTTATGTAATTGTTTCAATTTAACATGTACAATCACGATCCTAAATATTACTTCATATAGATTGATTATTGTCTAAATTTTTTCATATATCCTTACCTTAGTAAGTGAATAATAACCTCATCTAATCTAAATAAATACTTTTAAGTATAAAATCTTGTGTTTGATATCCGTACTCATTTTAAGTTTGTCGATGTGAAGAAGACTTTAGTCTTTAGATTAGTGAAATGCCTAAAACTTAACTATCCAAAAATGGCAAGATCTAAATCTCTGGCCTACATTGAATTTTAAAATGCTAAATGTAGCCACAAACCCACAATTTTCAAGATTCTGACTCTACTGACCACAAACTGAGATGTCGGCTGAATTATTCAAAATGGGCCCATCACTAGCAATCAATAATGGGCCCCCAAACACTAGCAATCAATATTGGGCCCCTTAGACAAGTACAACGAAAGAGTGGATTGGGCTCACTACTATTACGGTGAAATCATCTTATCACCTAAACAAAATTTGAACAATTACAAATTGTAAATTTTTAGTAATTAAAAATATAAACATCATAAATTTTGAACATTAGTAAAAAAAAATTCCAATATATATATATATACTAGTTTTGTGTCCCAGCGATGCCCGAGTAGTTTATGGACTTTTAAGATAAAATTATACTATTATAATTCAATTTGATTGAAAATAGAATTCTAAATTAACTTTTTTTTGCTACAAAGTCAATCTATATTTATCCAACGTGGTACGATACTTGGCGAAAAATTAAAACGCTAAATGATGTTGTCTTGTGGCCTAGTTATAAATTTATTATTTGGTATTTTATCAAAGAAATAATTCTAAACTAATAATCTTATTCTAAAATTCTATCCTAATTTGATTGAAAATAGAATTATTACCTAATTTTTTTTATCTTATTAAATCTATCCAATGTGGCGCGATACTTGACGGTTTTTTTTTTATCATATGAAGTCTATTTAAATTTATCTAAGGTGGCGCGACACTTGGCGAAAAGTTAGAATGTCAAGTGTCGCTATTTCGTGACCTGGCTAAAAGTTTAGCTTTTTATATATATATACTAGCTTTGTGCCTCGTGCAATGCCCGGGTTGTTTATTGAATTTTTAGATAAATTTTTAATCTATATATCAAATTTTTTAATATATCATTAATACAAAATTAGTTAAAAATTGATGTGCTTTTGTGACGATTAGCTATTTAGTAGTCATGTAATGACTAATAATAATGTAGGTGGAAATGTTCGATTTAATACATTAAAAAAATAAAGTATAAGCAAAAAAATAAATTTAAAATAAATGTTCAAAGCCCGTTGGGTTGACCCGAACCCAAAACCTTGGGCAAGGGTTGAACATTTTTTGACTCGTAACCTGAAGTGATCCAATCCGGAATGACTCATGACCCGATCCTAATTGAAAGGTCTACATAGTAATAAAATTCTATTAGATTGTGAAGTATATTAGTTTAACCAATTAGTATATATTATAATGTATGTTTTACACGTTGAACTACTTCCTTCGTTCCAATAAAATATTATGATATAAAAAATAAATTTATATGATAATATTTTAAAATAATTATCTAATAATTTTTTTTGAATAAAATAATAAATCAATTTGTACATCTAAAACATTGGTATTTTATCGAAAATAAAAATCTAAATTAATTAATAATTTTATCTTAAAATTTTATCTAAGTAAAATTCTAAACTAACTTTTTAATTTTAATCTTATGAAATTTATTTAAATCTATCCAACGCGGCGCGACACTTGGCGAAAAGTTAGAACGCCAAGTGTCACTGCCTTGTGACCTGGCTAAAAGTTTAGCTATATATATATATAAGGGAGGGATCCGGTAAGAACTCATCCTTATATAAGAACCTTAGTTATATAAGAATCAATCTCATCCGTAGAATTAGATTAATTCGGACGGTTCAGATTAAAACACGTATTCTCCTTCTAACCCCTTACCTACCACCCGAAATTTTCTCTCTCCTCTAACTTTCTCTCTCTTCCTCACGTTTCTTTCCTCCTCTCTCTCTTCAAACCCCAAAAGTTGGTTCGATTTTCTTTTTTTTTTTGTTCGATTTTCTTTTTTTTTGTTCGATTTTCTTTGTTTTTTGTTCGATTTTCTATTTTTTTTGGTTCGATTTTTTTGTTGTTCTATTTTCTTTTTTTTTTGGTTCTATTTTTCTTTTCTATTTTTGATTTTCGAATTATATAGTTCGATATTTTTTCGATTTTTGCTCGATTTTAGTTCAATTTTTGCTAATATTTTGATTTTTGTTCAATTTTAGTTCGATTTTTGCTAATATTTTGATTTTTGTTCAATTTTAGTTCGATTTTGTTTGATTTTGTTCAATTCAATTTTTGTTCAATTGTTGTGGGGTAGAGGATTATCGTGAAAATGGAGCTATAATTGATGCCGATAATCTACTTGAAATGAAGGTGGTTAATTGGTTGTTGCGGGATAGGAGTGACGGGTGAATAGGTGGCTGATTACGGCATTGAAGGAGGTGCACAGGTGGTTATTGCGGCTGTTGCTGGAGATGTGGTGCGAAGGTGGTGTGAAATGGTGGTGTTTATGCGGAGGAAGGTAGTGTGCTGTTGGAGTTGGTGGTTTGGCTGCAATTGGTGGCGGAATAATTGTTGTTGTGTTGCGTGGTAATGCAGGGGCAGCAACTAATTACGGTTGGTGGTGTTGAAGGGGTGTTGCGAGTGGGCTGCTTGATGTGAGTTGGTGGAGTGAAGAGGGCAGCAAGCTGGTGGAGCAGGGGAATCAATTGGGGAAATGAATTATTTTCTCTATTTTGCATGAATTATTTTATCTATTATTTTATGATTTATCATTTTCATTGTTGATTTTGTTCGATTTTATATAGTTCAATTATGTTCTAAAGTTCAATTTTATATAGTTCGATTATGTTCTAAAGTTCAATTTATATAGTTTGATTATGTTCTAAAGTTTTTCATTATGTTCTAAAGTTTTCCCTTATGTTCTAAAGTATTTCTATTATGTTCTAAGATTTTTTTATTATGTTCTAAAGTATTTCTATTATGCTATAAAGTTTTCTATTATGTTCAAAAGTTTTCTATTATGTTCTATTATATTTTTCCCTTATGTTCTAAAGTATTTCTAATATGTTCTAAGATTTTCTATTATGTTATAAAGTATTCTACTATGTTCTAAAGTTTTCCCTTATGTTCTAAAGTATTTCTATTATGTTCTAAGATTTTCTATTATGTTGTAAAGTATTTCTATTATGCTATAAAGTTTTCTTATTATGTTCTAAAGTTTTCTATTATGTTCTAAAGTATTATGCTATAAAGTTTTCTATTATTTTCTAAAGTTTCTATTATGTTCTAAAGTTTTCCCTTATGTTCTAAAGTTTTCTATTATGTTCTATTATATTTTTCCCTTATGTTTTAAAGTTTTCTATTATGTTCTAATGTTTCTATTATGTTCTAAAAATTTCGATTATGTTCTATTATATTTTTCCCTTATGTTCAAAAGTTTTCCCATATGTTCTAAAGTATTTCTATTATGTTCTAAAGTTTTCCCATATGTTCTAAAGTTTTCTATTATGTTTTATTATATTTTTTCCTTATGTTCTAAAGTTTTCCCTTATGTTCTAAATTATTTCTATTATGTTCTAACATTTTCTATCCATATGTTCTAAAGTATTTCTATTATGTTCTAAAGTTTTCCCTTATGTTCTAAAGTTTTCTACTATGTTCTAAAGTTTTCCCTTATATTCTAAAGTTTTCTATTATGTTCTATTATATTTTTCTCTTATGTTCTAAAGTTTTCTATTATGTTCTAATGTTTCTATTATGTTCTAAAGTTTTCTATTATAGTAAAAAAAAACAATTTGAAATTAAAATCCAATAATAGAAAAACTCAAGCAAGAAAAAAAATTGGAAAAAAATAATTGAAAATGAAAACTAGAAACTAAAAAAAAAAAGCGAAAAAAAATTAGGGAAAAAACAGAGAAAAATCGAAAAATAAAAAATTGAAATCGAAAAAAAAAACTGGAAAAAAAAACGGAAAAAAAAAACAAATAAAAAACTTGAAAATAAAAAATCGAATAAAAAACTGAAAAATCGACAAAAAAAAAACTGGAAAATAGGAAAAAAAATTGAAAATAAGAAATCGAAAAAAATGGAAAATCGACAAAAAAAAATTAAAAAAACTAAAAATTAAAAATTAAAAAAAACTGGAAAATCGACAAAAAAAATAAAAACTGGAAAATAGGAAAAAAATGGAAAATCGAAAAAAAAAAATGAAAATAAGAAATCGAAAAAAAAAACTGGAAAATCGACAAAAAAAAAACTGGAAAATAAAAAAAAAAAACTGGAAAATCGAAAAAAAAATTGAAAATAAAAAATCGAAAAAAAAAACTGGAAAATCGAAAAACAACTTGAAAATAAAAAATCGAGAAAAAAAACTGAAAAATCGAAGAAGAAAAAAAACTGGAAATTCGAAAAATATATTCTTAAAAATCGAAAAAAAAAACCAAAAAATAAACTTAAAATCGCAAAAAAAATCAAAAAAATCGAACCAAAAATCAAAACAATCGAACTTAAAATCGCAAAAAAATAAAATTAAATCAGATTTTTTTAGCAATTTCATAAACTTACCAAGTTCCTTGAGGTAGAGGAGAGAGAAGAGAGAAAGGGCGGAGGAGAGAGAAAATGCTAAGGAGAGAGAAAGTGTTGAGGTGAGAGATTTAGGGTATTTTTGTTTAAAGTGTGAAAAAAAAAGTTATAAAGAATTACAAAAATGTCATTACTAAAGGGGTATTTTAGATGGTTAGATCAAAATCATTGAACGGTTGAGATGAGTTCTTATATAAGATTGGATTCTTATATAGAGGAGAGTTCTTATATGAGTCTTCCTATATATATATATATATATATATATATATATATATATATATATATATATATATATATATATATATATATATATATATATATATATATATATATATATATACAATCATAATACACCATGCCTATACTTTTGAACATCTGGTAAAAAATCTAAAGATTCTGAACAATCGCAAGTTTTGAACATGTAGTACATTAAATATAACACTATATAATAAACATCAATTTTTTTAAAGAAGTTTATCAAACTCGTAATAATTCAATAGTTTTGTAATATAAACTGAACATTCACTGCAAATAAAATGAACATTTCTTTATAAAATATGAACATATAAAATTGGATGCTTGTGTTCATTTTTTGTGATGTGATTATATATATATAACTAAATTTTTAATTTTTTTTATAAGTATTCATTTATTTTATTTTATTTTAAACTAAAGGTTCAAAAGTATAGACGTGGTGAACCTATTTCTAGGCGCACCATGGTGCACATAATAACTATTGCCCCTGGACAAATACAACAAAGGAGTGGATTGAGCTCACTATTATTTATCATCTTATCATCTGTCTTTTAAGTAAACTGTTTTGACTTTTACCTTTATTAATTTAACAACTTTAATTATTAGTATCTTTAATTATTATTATAATTTGACATCTTATATTAAGACGAAATTAAGAAATTTCTATGTGACAAGTATAACATGTGAATAATGAAAAAGTCGAAACGTAGCTATTAAAGCAACAAATATATTTATTTTCATACAAATTTGATCCATAAATTTGACATCATTTTGAAAAGTAATTAGGAGCATCTATTTCATTTTGGGTCAAAATCTAGCTTTTAAGCTAGTAAAAAAAGCTAGGAAAAAACCATTTGCCAATTATAATTTTTTTACCATATATAAAAACTCATCTAAAGCTACTTGTCAATATATCCAAATAAGTTAGCTACTTATTTTTAATTAAAAAAAAAAGTTAGAAAACTAAGAAGTATTATATAGAGATTTGATCTAATTTTTATCAAAATAGTAGAAGGAAGGCAACCTATTCCAGCTACACGTGACAAAACTATTAGAGAGAAGGGGAGGAGGAGGGAGATCATAGGAATTCATCCCCAAAACTATTATGATTCAAATTAAAGGTGATCGTTTGTGGATTTGGTTGGAAAATAGGTGATTCAAACTAACATGCTTAAGGTAGCAAAACCATGCCTTTTTATGCAGGCTTGTCCATACCTTCCCTATTTTACAGGGCAGGCTTGTTCTCGGGCAAACGAGCTTTATATCTTCGTTTTATTTATTACTAGCCTAATCCAAATATTCATTTTTTTCCGAAATTGTTGTCCAAAGCACATCCGTTTTGTAGGCCAAATTGGCTGAGCTTTGTAATTTTCCAGCGACCTTGGATACACAAATAAATAGAAATGCATGACAGGTAGAAAATGACATGTAGTTTTCTAAATAAGCGGGGATAAAATACATGCCCACAAATCAAAAATCGATACATCCCCCCTGCCTTGGTGGTATGTAGGTCAGTAGGTGTATGTCCACTTCAAGTTGAACAATGGCCACCATCCATCAGTTCTTCCTACTGAAAACACAACCATTCGACATAAAACATCATCATTAAATTTGTGCTAATTCTATATCAGCTGGACACTGAGACTGCAGACTGTAGAGGCAAAGACTGCATCGAATTTGAATCATCCCTATTTCATTATGGCCGAAGAGAATGAGGCACTGCATTCAGATTCAGCTGTGCCAATACATTCAATGATCTCCCTACTAGCATATATCAGTCACGGGTGCCTTAGTAATTAGTACCTGTGAAAAAAGAAAAGTAAGCAATGCTTTAGCTTTAGATTTTGACTGAGGCAGTGATCTCTCACTGTTTCTACTTCGCCCATAAAAGATTAGTTAACTTCAGAATACTCACAAAACCAATATCTACTTATGTTAAATGATAATCAAATAAATAATACTTGTAAAATTTATAACCAAAAAGAAAAAACCTTCAGCGGCCAAGTTAGTTATGGACTGAATTTTCTGTTTCACAGATTATAGCTTGTCATCTACTTTTATTTGAAAATATCCAACCTCTAATAGCTGCAATTTGCTTTTTATCATTTCTTTTTTAATAGAGCAAATAGTTGGATCATAATCAATGTATTGGTGATAGCTCCTGATTAATAATGAAAATCTTCTTGCACATGAGCTCTTGCATCAAATCTTCGAACAATTTACTGCTGTTATGCAAACTAGATATGTTCTCTGCATGAACTTGCTCCCAAAAGTGCATTTACAAATCTATGAAAGGGTTAACCATCACAAAAATTACCCAGCAATTAATCATGCACTCCAAATTTCCCCCAACACTAATTTAACAGCCTATCTAATTCTAAAAGCTCACCTTGGGTTATAATTATCAAAGATAACAACAATACATATCAGATCCCTGAACACAAATCAGGGATAAAGAAAACCAGAAGATCACTTTCTAGTACATCAAAACCAGGACAGATTTACTCTTTATAACACTACCCAACTGAGTACCCTAGTTATGCAGTTGATCAAGTCACAGAAGAGCAAAATACCAACCTCACAGAATTGCGATATGAGATTCGCTTACATAGTATACTTGTTCTTTATATTCAGAGGATGCTATGCCACTTCACAAGCAACTTTTCTTCGTTCTTATCTGCTACCGCATACCTAGTCCCACTATAGAAATTCCCGGACAGTAGCAAATAATGCTCAAGGAAAGCAACATCAGGAAAAAAAAAAAGGGACAAACATGCATAAGAGTCCTTACCTTTGACAAAAAGCAAGTTGCACTGGCTTTGGAGATGAGACAGTTAAAGCATATTATCTTTGATGCTAGATTGCTCTCCTTGCCTTCTACTGAATCATCAGTGCATTAGATCAATCGAGGGGTTGAAGGGAGCAAGGAAGGTGTCGTTAGCAGCTTAGAGGTGAAAAGGCTATAGCCTGTAATGCTATCTTTTTTGTCACCATTCATTCCACAGCCTTTCACCATTTCAATCATGCTATTTGGCATTAATGCAGGTAAAAAAATGTTATTGATGTGCCTCTTGATTACCTTAGTTTGGTATTTCGCCCTGAACCAGCAAAGTTTCAAATGTTATGCAGCCTATCTATTAATCTGTTGTAGGAGGCAATATCAGGAATATAGTCTTTGTCCAACATCTCCTCAACCAGGAGCTCTCCTTCTTTTGTTTTACCTTCCCTTGTGTAACCAGCAACTAATATGTTGTAGGTTACATCATCAGCATCTAAACCCTTGCTAGAAGCCAACAACCTCAATCTATCAGCTTCAGCAGTTCTTCCCAAATGACTAGCATCTTGAAGGAGACAGTTAAAAGTCACACTATCTAACATGATACCCTCTTTTAGCATCTTGTTGACGAACCTCAGTGCATCTTCTATGTTTCCAGAAGTCCTCAAACCTTCTACCAAAGTACTACAAGCAATGATGCCAGGACTTTTCCCTGTTTTCCACATCTCCTCCACAACCTCTAATGCTCTAATTGCATTTGATCCACTGCAAAGGCTCTCAACAAGATCAGAGCAATCAAATCCATCTGGCAAAACTCTTTTCCTTGATAAATCAATCAACAACTCAGATGCCCTTAACATTCTCCCTACCTTGCAAAGCCCGTTCACCAAAATCTCACAAGTTACAGTTGAAATTTGACACCCCATATCAATCATCTCATATGCCATGGCAACCCCTTCCTCATATTTTCTCTCCTTAAAGAACCCTCTTATTAAAGTATTGAAACTAACCACATTCGGTTCACAACTCTTCGCTCGCATTTCCTTAAACAGCTCCAAAGCTGAGCCAAAACGATTACTTTTACAATAGCCACTAATCAATATATTGAAAGTAAACACATCAGGCTTAACTCGATCCAGAATAAGCTGATCATACAAGTGCAATGCCTTATCATGCTGACCGTTTTTGACAAACCCATGAATCAAAATATTATAAACAGCAACACTAGGCTTCCCATCAATCAATTTTTTCATAGTATCAAAAGCAAGTGAAGCATCATTCAGTCTCCCAACTCTGCAGTAAGAATTGATGGCGAATCTAAATATAGGTTCAATCCTTGGGCAACAAAAGATTCCGTCAGCGCATGGGCACGGTTTAGAGGGCATAATATCAAGGACCACTACTCGGAGGGCATCAAAGCGGTCAGAAACAGCAAGGGTCCTGATCATCCATTCATAAGTATGATGGTCATGGCGATAAGAATCAATGGTACTGGCCCACTGGAATATATGGAAGTCAAGGTGGGTGAATTTTGGGTGGTAATGCAGCTTGTTCTTGAGGAAGTGGAGGAGAGTTTGCGAGGTTATTGGTGATCTAAGGTGTATCTTGAGGAAGGTTAAGAGCTGGGATTGCGTGGTTGGTGAGGTTAGAGAAAGAGTGGGTAACGGGGTGGGGAAGGCGGCTCCAAGCTGAGGGATCGGAGCTAGGGTTACAGTGGGTGTTGTTTGTTGAAGGTGCTTCATTTGAGGTGCTATCAGCTTCCTCATTGAAGCTCTCATTGTTAACAATGTAATTCTTCCCTTTATATCCTAAGATAATCACCAATTTTTCAAAAAAAAAAAAAAAAAAGTTCAACCTTCTCATCTTTAATATCAAATTTCAAACTTTCAAAACCAATAAAATTTGTTAAAGCAAAACATAATCTCGCTGAAAATCAATGTATAAAGACAAACTGACATCCATTCATAATCAAATATCATTGCAAAAAAGAAATTGTAAACTGAAAATCACAACATAATGAAATTTTGTAATCTCAAAATTAGTTAAAGCATCAAGACCCATGATTAAATCGTGTCTACATCATCATGCCCCAACACACTTTCCATAATATAGAATTACATATACAAGAACTCAAAATTCCCATTTCAATGATATATAAAAAAAAAAAACCCAGATTAAATCATTTATCAATAATTTTTAGAGGTGCTTCAATTCAATCAGCTTCCTCAGCCAATTATTTCACTTATATATAATCACCAAAATTGAATTCAAAAGAGTAAAGCAATGAAAGAAATTGAGACAACCCAGTTATTGATTTACCTAAAAGTGAGCGAGCGACTGTCGAATTCGAATTCTGGAAAAGTTTGATCTTTAAAAATTAATCAATGACGCCCTGTTTCGATAAAATTGGAAAACTCGGAAGTCGGAACTGTGTTCTACACCAGTGTCGGAACCGTGATTTCGAGGATGGTAGGGCACCCGTCAACTACAAATTAATGGACAACAAAATAATCTATTATAATATTAATTAGATAGGCATAATTAGATGATACAACAAAAATTTCTAAAATAAACTAACACTACATACTTGGCGCCCGTTCATATTTACTGAACTGAACTGAATCGAGCTGAATTAATTGAAGTCGAACGGAACTGAACTGAGTTGAAATGAATATTTTATAAGAGAGGGAAATTTGTAGCTGAATTGAACTGAACTGAAATTCGAATTGTTACAAAGTATATAAGCTAACTAGTGCCTCTATGGCTCTATCTCCCTTTGTTTGCTCTATTAGGGGATGAATACTTTTTTTTTTTTTGGTTGAAAGGAATTGACCAAAGTGGTGGATTGGTGGGGTGTAATTCTTGTAAAGATATGGTGCTTATAGTTGAAAGTAGTATAGAACCAAACGTAAAAGATATGAGGCAAATATTATGAGACAAAGATAGAAGTAGTACATTACTGATCAGTAGTTATAATATTAAATGCATGTATGAGTAAATTGTTAATGTCTACCGTCTACGGCTAATTTCATCTCGTGTGAGTGCATTTTTGCCATTTTTCATATCAATCATAGCCATTTGGGAAAGTCTGATTTAAATCATTCTTATATCATTTAGATACAAAATACCTAAGAGTTAGAAAAGTGTGTGTGGCTTTTTTTTTTTTTTTTTTTTTTTTGGGGGGGGGGGGGGGGGGGTGGGGGGGGGGGGCAGGGTGTGAACTTTTGAAAGCATTTTGACAATGCAAGTGATTCACCATTTTTTTCCCCTTGTACAATAAGTTAACTTCAGTTTTCAAAGTTTCATTTATGTCAGCTACCAAGCCCATGCAGAATTCATACGAGTATTATTAATAATTACTCCCTCCGTCCCTAAATTACATTACTAATTCTCTCTATTATGTAAGGAATAAATGCTAGAAATAGAAATGTAATTTAGGGACAGAGTGAGTAGTTTATACGGAGTACATTATTAACATATACTATACTTTGTAGTTTATGATGCTAGAAGTTTATGAACAGCGTGATTGTTTGGTTATAGAATTTTATTGTTACGGGTTAGCTTCAAAGTAGCTGCAACATCAACCTTTGCTTTTGAATGAATTGGTGTTACACTTGATATTGAGAACAAGTGAAATGGAAGATGAAGCTATATAGGTCAAGGAATTTATCACATTTCATTATCATAATCCTTGAATGAAACCAATGACTTTATTCAAGGTATTATACATTGATTATCAGTATCAATAACAGAAAAAGGATCTTCATTCTGTGCTAACAAATGCATCTGCTCTAGAGCACACAACAAATCTATAAAACATCATTAAATTTGTGCTAAATCTATATCAGCTATAAACTAGCACTGTAGAGGCAAGGACTGATTCAAATTTGAATTTGCTGAGACCCGATTAAGCAGCAGCACTAATACATTCAATGGCCTGCTTGCATATTCCGGTCATTGTTGCCTCAGGCCCATACACCTGCAAAATATAAAGAAATTAGCAAGCAGACATGTTAAGCTTTTGATTGTTAAGAACTATGGGCTCTTTAGGGTTACGATGGACTCATGGTTCAATATTATTACTTTCTTTTTACATCACCCATAAATAAGTAAAGATCAGAACTCCCAGACTAATGTTATCTACTTACGGTAAAATCTTACAGTATGACTTTTAAAGTTTTCAGCTTAAATTCTAACATAGACGGATACTCTATAATTGCAAAGTTAAGGATTACATCATCCAAAGCATTTCAAGGGTATCTCAAAGAACGCAACATAAGAAAGAGCATCATAGGTAACAAATAGAATATAATGTACCTCAATAGGAATTCCAATCTCTTCTCCAAGCAGCCGCATTTTAGCCAAACCCTTTTGGTAATTTGGACCTCCTCTTCTCACATAAATGTGCATTCTTGCTGCTTTAAGCTTTGATTCCTGTTAAGCAAAAACCAGCAGATGTGTTTCAGAAACTGTACTGATTCAAAATTCAAGCACTAACCAAAAGGAGTAGTGAAGCAAGTTAACCTTCTCCTTCAGAGCTCTGATTATTCCATTGAAGGTAGCAGCAACATCAGTAAAATTAGCAATACCTCCACCAACTACGAGGGCTCTCTTGCGACCATCAGGATCTGCAGTAGCACACTGCAGAGGTTGTATAATAATTAGTGATGTAAATTTAGGATGAAGGGCGTTAACAAATAAAGAGTTGATGATGATATTTCAAATAGTTATTAGTTATTGGTTAACATTCTTAACAATATATCTATCCAACATTTATTAAAAAAAATATATATCTATCCAACACGATGATGGCCTTTCATGCACATGTGGGGAATTTTATGTAGATAAAGGGCTCAGCTTAAGAGCTAAATTAGAGAAATCAACGTACATCAATTACTACTCTGGCATAAATAGAGAAATCAACTTACATCAATTACTACTCTGGCATACTGTAAGACCTCATCTTCATTAGGAGCACCACTATATTCAGCATAGTTCCCAAGCTCAGATGCATAGCCAAGATCCCCAACCTGTAGCAAGGAAAAAATTTAAGCCATGAATAAAACTTATGCAAGATATTTTTAAAGATCAAAATGTCCATTCTTCTGTCCTAGTCCATACAGTATCTGCGTAGATCACACTGGCTCCTCCTCCAGCCACCATGGTCCAGATCCTTCCCTTGGGGTTCAAAACTGTGAATTTCAAGGATGCACTTGTCTGCACAACAAGGAAAACATAATACAATAAGAACACCTCGTACAACGATAATTTTAGACAATGTAACTACATGTAAAGCCTTGCTAAAATACTTAGGAGCATCATCTAAGAAAGGAAGCTACTTTATACCTTTTCATCTAGACCATGAACAAAGCTCTCTGTTGGGCTCATAACTCTTCCAAATGGCAATGGAAATTCGATATTACCCCACCTGCAGAAGTGTACAAAAAAAGGGCAAGTGTTATTACTTAAGGAAGCTAGGAAGAACTGAATAAAGGTGATGGAGAAATTTTGTGCAGTTGAAAGAGCGCATACTTCTTGAAATTCTTGAAGGTAGCAGTATCATCTAGCTCGCCTCTCATGTCCAAAGGATAGGGGCTCCCATTGACTAATGTGAAAGGATTCATTTCTAGGAAAGTGAAATCCAGATCTGCATTTATGATATTAATTAACAATTACGCCTTTTTTCCCCACATAATTAGTATCAAGAGCATCAGTAAAAGTTGCTTACTAATCAAAAAGAAAAATGAAGGTGACATTGTAAGAGGATGGCTGCTTTTTTTTAATGTTTTTTTTGCCACAGAAACCTCAAATGAACATATTGGTTTTCTTGCCCTAATATCAGCTTGTTTTTCTGAGATTAAAACTACTAAAAAAGAGTATGTCCAATTACCTAAAAACAGGGCGAAAATGACTTTGACAAACTCCTCAATAACACTTTTGACCTAAAAGGGAGAGAAAAAATTGTCAGCTATACTAATATAAATTACACAAAAAGCAATATTCTCAACAGATAATTTCCCTTGAAAAGTAGTATAACTTTACTCTGCAGTAAAATATAGATAAAGCAATTATATTATACTTCCAAAGGTCATGAGAGTACCTCCAAAGGTAAAGTAGCAACCAGAGGAGCACAGACTTCAGAAGTAAGAGAAACACCAGTGGGAACAAAGATTGTTTTGACCTGGATAGAGAAGAAACCAATGTCATACAGCTCAAGTGTTTAGTATAAATAATTTTTACTGCAATATGAAATGGGCATCTAGAATGATTTCCATTTTGTGAAATCAAAGTGTCAGGAGTACCTTATCCCAGTTCTCTTCAATCTCAATTCCACCACACTCTGAAAAGCTTATACTGTTCCCCAGTCTTTCTGAGACAATGTTAAGATAAAACTCTTCATTGTGTGGAATGAAAGGCTCAACAATGAAAGTAGTAATAGGTCCTTTACATCCACCCATCTCCACCTGTTATTGTAGCGTTTGCACAATCAGTAACTACTACAATAAAGCAACTTTCGCTAACAAAAGTACTCGTAGCAGTTATTGTCCTGATGATCAATTCAACCTACCTCTTTGCCAAGACGTTCTTTTACGAAAGCAGTAACCTGGGAAAAGTCCAAATTGAGGGCAACTAGACCACTTTTGCCACGCTTCCCAAACAACATGTCAGGCTTCACAACCAACTTTTCAGATGATAGCCATGGCTCATTCTGAACAAGTTCATTCAGGTCGGTTGACTCTGTAATCTAGTCATAATAAAGACAACTCAGGTCGAATTCAAGTATCATATACAGCAGCACAAATGACATTATTAGAAAGTAACTTTACAAGAAATTCATGCCACATTGAAGATAAAAATCCACAGATAAGGTTGTGCAGTAGAAAACAAATTTAGTTAGTCAATGAAATTTGCAATAGAGCAAATGATTGCATATTCATAGGAAAAGAAACACATCAGAGTAGATAAGATTGAAGCTTTTATGTCAAATTGTCATTTCCGGCAAGAAAATGGATTAGACTCTGACAAAGTACTCTTAAATTGTTCTAGAAAACATGCAGATTCATTTAGGACATAGCCAAAAAAATTTTAGCAGAATTCTATTAGTAACATGGTCTCATACTTTGTATTACATTAGCGCAATATATTGAAGATTTCTGAGTAGCAAAAGATCATTGGATACTGATTTTTGGGTCAATTAGGATGTAGCCTCTCCATTATTGCAGGATCAATAGTGCATATAGTCTAACTATCGTCACCTGTCTAATGAAGCAAGGGTATCGTAAAATACATTTGTATACCGTTGTTGATTAAAGCCTTGTGAATTGAATTATTTACATATTCCAAAGAGTAAAAAACACAACCAAAATGATCACCTACCCTAAATTTCTTCCTCAAATCACGTTATAGTTGGCTATTTAGCCAATCAGCCTTCCACTATTCTAAAAGACTATTATCATGGATATGTGAATAGAGACTCGTAGAACCTTCTTATTCGGTCCATGATACATTCTTATTGGAGACTATTATCATAATCCATGTATCTAAACTGAATGTTAACATAAAGATCATATAAAAAGATAGGACAAATTCTAACCAAATCACACATAACTATGATTTCCCACAAGAATCGATCACCCAAGATCATCAAAGTAAAGTGTGTAAACAATGTAAAAGTCAATTCGTTGCAACTAAAACATGGATCACCGCCTCACCCGCTTCACCGCGAAATCAATTTCGTATTTTTGTTCAGCGTATGAGGATTGAAATCATAATCCCCAACCAGAGTCAAATGATAAACCTAAACAAACAAATCAAAAGAAAAAAAAATGCCCACATTTGGAAAAATCGCCAGTAAAACCGAAAATCTACATTAATAAATTACTACATTTTTCTAAAACTAGCAACAGGGTTTTAACATACTATTTCGATTAATCCGAAACGGAGAAAACACAGTTCAATTTCATGACAATGTAGTTCATCAAAACACATTATATTTGCATAATATATGATCCAAATCACATAAAAATAAAATCTGAATTCAAAACCCACTAATTAAAATGAAAAATTAAACTTACTTGAGCTGATCTAATGGGTAGTTCAGAACCAGAAATTCTCTTATAATGCTCCTTAATCAACCTCTTTGAATCGTACT